CTGGAGGCCCACCGTCACAGGTGTGACAACAGCGTTACTACTTACTTGTGACTTGCTTTTGCGCCCCCACCGCCCGTGCTCGAGCCGAGGGGTCCTTCACTATAAATTGAAGCATACACCGATTTTTCTGTTTTTCTTTATTTTTTTGTGATTTTCCCTTGATTTTTTGTGATTTTTTGTGATATTTTTCTGACTCTTTGTTATTTTTTTTTGATGATTCTTACATGATTTTTTATGATTTTTTCGTGATTTTGTCTAAGGGTGTACACTGATATTTGATAGTGAAGGACCCCTGTGCTCGAGCACCCCTTGTCTTTTGATTGCAGTCGGCGGCTGCGCGAGGTCAAGGTATGGTTCTTCCCGGGGGTGGCCGAGATACTCAAGGGGATGCAGTACATGGAGAAGCTCACCCTGATCATCGAAACGGAAGACGAGGGACCTGACGAGGAAACTGAGGTAACGCTCTCACTGTTCTCGTCGATTTAGTACGATCCACCAGCAGGGGGTGAATCATCTGAGGGGTACTTCACTGTAAATTCAAGTGTACAACAATTTTTCTGTGTTTTTCTTATTTTTTTCTGGTCTTTAAAATTGTTTTTCAATTGATTTTTCCGATTGTTTTTGAAGAGTGGACACTGATTTTTGCTAAAATTGAAGTACCGCTCTGGCGAACCGGTCGCCTCGCGCTATACTCACTCAGTCTCTGCCCTCCTCAGCTGGCGGCGGCCTTGAGCTCGTGGACGCACCCCCTGCGGCACCTGGAGATCAGGGTGCTCCGCTGCAACGTGGCGGCCGTCGGCGGCGCCCTGGGGGCGGGCGCGCTCTGCGGCCTCACGCGGCTCTGCCTGGTGCTGGACGGCTCTTCGGACTCCGGCGACCTGAGCCTGACGGCCGTGCTGCGCGGGCTACCGAACCTGCGCTCGCTCGTGCTGCAGTGGTGGTTCGAGGGCCCGGCCACGTCGCTGGACCAGATGCTGCGCGACGTCCAGCCTGAGATGATCCCCTCTCTTCGAGTGCTCTCCATCACGACGGCGCTCGCCTTCTCCTCTCCTTCTGGTGAGTACTATACCTCACACTTTACTTGCAGCTTTTTGCCAGCTGCTATGCCACAGGTTCACGCTCATGTCATCGTCGACACAGTCATCAGTTCTTAGACAATCCCCGAAACTGGCGTTACCAGAAGAAATCGTGCCCCCCCCCCTTGTTTCGATATTTCAGCACGCCCACTGACTTGGTTCATCAACTGGGCATTTCAAGTCCTTCAGGCGGGTGGGGTGGTAACTGTGATGACCCTGTCGGTTGCTTAACTGCAGGCGCATTTTGTATGCCTAATCGAGAATTATTCGTATAATTAATCGTTCTAACATGTCTTTTTATAAGAGCTGCCATCTTCCCAATGGCGGGTTGAGTTGACCAGTGTGGAATGGAACCTGTTACGCAATTTTTTTCTTTCCTAAATTTTCCGTTTTTTCCGGAGGTTTTCCGTAATCTTCCCAGGGCTTCCAACCCCATTCTTGTCCAACTTTGCCCCCTCGCAGTCCCCTGCACGATCCCCGCGGCCGGCTGCCTGGCGCTCCGCGCGCCCGTGAGCTCGCTCCACGTCCTGAGCTCGCCGTGTCCGCGGAGCCTGGCGGGCGTCGCGGACGAGGAGGAGTGGAGCCACCGCAGCCTGGACTGCGTGATCGCCGCCACCCACCCCGCGGCCGAGTTCGAGACGTGCTCGCTGTGCGCG